GATCCATAGATGCGGGCCTGTTAACCTCCGCTATGGTGAAGATCAATTCTCACAGGTAAGGGAGCGGCATGTATCTCGGCAATAGGCATAAGCTTATTGCTTTGAGTTTCAGGAGGTGTTTTGTGCTCTGCGCTGTGCTGGCGATAATACCATCAGTATTCGTACCAATTTGCACCTCAGCCAGGACGTTTTTGCTTGCAATTGTTATTCGTGTACTCCAAGGTGAGTCATTAATGCTGCACTCATATTTTGCAGTAGTGTCCACCACTGTGTACCAGCGTTCACTAGCGTCTCGAGGGCAGGGCGCACCATTTGTGATAAGCACAACAAAGAGGGATCGTATTTGACCTCGAGGGAGGAGGGAGAAGGTCGTGAACGCAGAGCCCTCCCTGAAGTGAGGGTGTAGCGATACCCAGCTTCAGTGATTATCCATGGGAAAGCATCTGAGGACACACACAAGACAGAAGCAACCTGCCAGCGCAGAAGTGGGGAACGGGCGATAACGGAAATGCGATGGCCGCTTACAACGACGTTATGAATTAGTAAACAGATTAAAATACACTCCCGGGCCTTTATGATCGCGGGAGACATCTACTTGCACGGAGGAAGCCCTATCCAAGAGGTACACCTTTCCAATACCTCTGTGTGAGAGCCCTATGCATGGCGCATTCCAGAAGTGATGTCAATCGGCACCCAGTGAAATACTCTCTGATACGCTTGGCGAAAACATGTGTTCGAGAAGCATAGCAAAAACTTCAAATTGAACTGGAAGTGGTATGGCGTCATAGGGATTGGTTTGTCGTGTTGTTCGACATGGGTTGCGTAGTGATCACAACTAGGGGTTTTTTTCAGTTAGGAACACTCGGAACAAAATGAAAGTACTGCTAGCAGAGGCCTTCAAAATCCCAGGACTGCAGGTCATTCCACGAATGGCCTTTTATGAAGCTTGTTATGGCTGTTCAAAGTGTAAGGACTTGCAAACTTGACTTGACCCCCAAAGTCACAATGGAATCACAACTGATACAGTTCCTTGAGAGGTGGTTTTTCCGTAATCGCTTGAATCAGTGTAATAAGTGCCAACCAAGTACTCCCCTGCTTTCCCCTCTTCAGAAACTCTACTTTCAAAGAAGTTGAGGATGCTCAATGCGACAGTGTCACTTGTCAGAGTGTTTGCTTCAGACTGCATCCAAACACCGTGACTACATAGCTCATTCTATATATCAGCCCAGAACCTTTGTAATGAGCGGCGATCAGCTAAATGGTCAAGTGCTGGTCACTGGCAGTTTTCGCACATTTTCTCTTAGTGTCTTTAATGGCTTATCTCTAATTCAGTACATTTGTAATATTGATTATGGATTTATTACTAGCTTATTCATTGGTTCTACATGTTTATCCTTGATTTCGCTTCTTATTTTTTCGCGAATGTTCTTTGTCGATTTTTTCGCAGATTCCTCGCATTCCCGGTTGTTTGTCCGATTACTCCGGTTTCAATGGTAGGTGGAGGGGTCTCTTTTAGAGCAATTGGCCAATGCGATTGCGTCATGCTCGGAGGGTCTGAGCTGTTAGGTGTCGTATAGCGTTCAGGGCACGCCATTGCGTTGTGATCATTTCCTGAAAAATACGACCCCCCCTAATTCCATCTTCAAGTACGACCCCCCTCCCCATGTTACCTCTTCCCTAGATTTTCCAACCTCCTACCACTTTGTCTATTTTTCCCCAAAAAATTTCTGGTTTTTTTACAAAATTTTGCTGTCGAGCGGGGGGGGGGGGGGAGGTCGCAGTACCTACCCTACGTCTCAAGACGTCCAGCACTCTTGCGCTTGGTATAGCATTATCTGGACAATACGTACGAGGAAGGGGCGATGATAGGATCTACGATCACCGCCCACAAGGACACCATGAATTTATAAACCTGGAAAGGACTCACGACATGACGATTAATAAACAAATGAAAGTACATTCCCGGACTTTTCTTATTGCAGGAGCATATTTGCTTGCAATTGGGAAGCCCTATCTAGAAGTTACACCTTTCAAACACCTGCGTGAAAGCCCCATGCATGGCGCATTGCATATGTGATGCCAATTGGCGCCCAATGGCCTATTACCTGATATGCTTGACGAAAACATGTGTTTCAGAAGCATACCAAAGTCTTCGAGCCAACTGGAGGTTTCCTGGCCTCGGAGGGGTTGATTTTTCGGTGTCGTGGGGGGGTGATTACAAAATGATCACAACGGGGAATTTTTTCGAATAGGTCTAGGAAGGAAATTAAAACCTTGCTGGAAAGTAGAAATCTTCAAGCTTCCGGCACAGTTCTTTTTTTACGAAAGGTCGTGTATGAAGCTTGCCATGGACGTCCAAAGCGTAGCGACTCGCGGTTCGCAAAAATGATCACAGATGGATCACAAAGATGATCACAACGGGGAAAATCTCTGGAACGGAACGTTTTTAAAATCGCTCAATTCAGGTGACAAGAGCCAACCTAGCTCTACTCATTCCCGTTTACCCCTCTTCGTTAGCTTCACTTTCAACGAAGTTATGGGTGTTCAAATGAGGGGTACTTTTCACGTGTTTGGCTTGAAATTGGCTCCAAACCGTGAAATAGCGCGCACCAATGCGCTTGTATCAGCGCACTGACCGCGAACAGCCAAAATTCAAAAGTAATCCATAGTTCCGGTTCCCAGCTGGCTTGGTGAGTATTTATATTATTATTTATAGTATTATATATATTATATATATTATATTATTTATAGTATTTTGATTGTTTGTATACTGTTAAGTTGGATGTTGTTTGTTGAGTTTGCATTTTTGCTGAGGAATTGGCATAGGAATCAGTTTCTGCGTTCATTAGTAGCTTTGGAATGGATTCTTTTCTAGTTTGCAGATTAGGTGATAGATTATCTAGTCCAGATTAGGGGGGTTGGTGGGCGAAGTGTCTAAAAGTTTTTCTGTGAGGAAGGAGTAAAAAGTTTCAGCAATATTTTTTTTGTTCTTGGCCTAGGGATAGTTCGATAGTGCCTAGTTCTATTTATTGTCATCGACATCTTCCCTTTTGAGCTTCTTTTCACTTGTACCGTGTATCACCGCTCTCTCCACTTCAACATGGGCCATGCGTTTACGACCCCCCCCCTCCATCGCGGGCAAATACGACCCCCCGTTGTGATGATCACAAAGATGGCGTGCCCTGGCGTCAGAGAGAGAGAGAATAGGGCGTGCGACCTTTCTATATCCTCTGCCAGCTGTCTGCTACTCCCTCTCGCGCCTTTCTCTACTCTCCCGGAGGTGATAGATGCTGATACACGCTGGCAGGCGAATGCTGCTAGACGCTGAAGACGCTAAGCAGATATCCATTTTTCTAACCGCAGACGCTGCCGGACGCATGAGACGCCAGTGGGACGCGCTTGGTAGGCGCTGCTGGACGCTGCCGTCAGTACAAACGCAGCCTGAGTACTATGTTGAAGACTCTATATGACGCTACCCTCTATTTCAGGTTTCTCCCTAGCTGTATTTTTACCGTACCTCTGTAAGATGGCTCTATTTATCCCGCTGAAGCATATTGCTTTCCCTGCCATCATCTTTGCTTACATTCAGGTATACCTTGTACCCAACTTCATAATACGCTTCTGGTAGTCATTACTTTTCAGATAGCAAGCGTTTTGCTGCTCGTTCTGCCAATCTTCTCGCTTCTGGCATGGAGTCGACTTGGATGGCATTCCGTGCATTACGGAGGTTGTCTGGCTACAGCAGTAATGTTTGGTATTTTCCTTCTCATCAACTACGACGAGGTATCAAATGAGAAAGCTGCAAGGGAAAGCACCTTCAACGTAAGTGTCAGGGGGGGGGGGGGGGGGGAAGGAGTTCCCACTCCCAGAAGGAGTTCAGCGTGGGGAGCTGAATTTCTGCGCAGTTCGTGGATCTTGCTTGTTCAGGCACTCTTCACGTACGAGAGGTGCCGCTCACGCATAATCACATTACGGCTACCCTATTTATCAATTTATCAAGTGAGGAACTCTGTGTTTTTTTTCTTTGATTTCTCTCTCCCATAACGCTCTGTTGAGGACATTCGTGTTTGGTCTACGTTCATAGCGGCGTTCGGCTATTTTACGGCTCTCAATCTCTACCTCACGTTTGGAGCAACATTCCTAAACAAGGTTACGTTCAGTCAAAAAAGCGTTTGTGAATGCCCCTCAATGCTTTTTTTATCAATTCAGGTGGTTTCGCTGCCGATTGTTTCCACCGGTTTGCTTCTCGCCATTCCACCTGCTTCAAATACTGTCATAAGTTTCGTAACCTATGGGCTGTTCTCGAAACTTGCGTGAGTGAATTTTTCCGAGATTTGGTATCATATGTATATCAGGACGAAATCAAATTTTATCCCCTTTTAGGAACACTGAGATCAACAAAATGCGGTTTTTCAATTCACTTGGTACTGTACCATCGGGTGTACTATTCGCCATGATTGGCCTCTTCAATCCGGAACTTCAGCCGGCATCTGTGACGGTATTATATGCAGTACTACTCCTCATTACTTCGGATAGCAACCATAAAACTTTTTGGTCACATGGGTGGATGAATTCAGCCCTCTCACTGCGCTTTGCTCATTGGTGCGTTACGCCTGCCTATGACGCTAGGATAAGGTGGGGGTCCAATGGTGGACGTGGCATCGCTCAGCGACCAGTGTGGAATAGTTTCGTTAAATATTCAATTTATCACTGCATGTTAGACTCACTGTAGTCGTCCTACGTTGGGAAATTTCCAGCGGGTGGGAGGGGAGTCGTATTTGGCCTATAAAACTTTTTTCTGACAGTTGACCTTCCTGTTTAACGTTATTCCGTTATCGTTGGGACTATTCCAATCGGGGTGGTGGTATCCGCCCGTTATTGGAAGAAGAAAGCGTCGTTTCTGCCTTCGGCAGAAATCTTGGAAAATTGGGCCAGTTGGTAGGTAGGATGCGGAGGAGGAGGAAATGGATTGGTGAGAGTCGTAGCAAATGGCGAAATTTCGGAGGGGCCCATTTGCCGGGAACTTTTCCGGCGGCTTTTGATCCGTCTAGGTCCTTATCACTCCAACGCTTTCCACTTTATCAAAGGAAATTCATGAAAATTCCAAGACCCGTCAAAATTGAACATGGTACAGGAAGCTCCGATTCCGATTTGCAATTACACAGCTCATAAGGATTATGATTTTGAGTTGTTGCAATCAAATTCAAGTTATTCAGTAAAAAAACATGGGACATCTCTGAGGGTTGATTCTGTACATGGTGACGTTCTCATAATTCCAACTTGAAATAAAATATCCTAGGTATGTACCTGTAAGAGGGTACCAAACGGTGACGATAAGGGGCGTCAACAGAAGAGATAAAAAAAATCCCAACGCCGCATTTATCCCAACGCCGCATTTATTGTGAACTGAGATTTAAGAGCCTCCATCGCGAGTGTAGCTCCAACTCCTCATACCTATATATCCTTCAAAAAACTACTCTGTTAAATAGGATTCCTGAGTTTCATGCTTCAGCTTCCGTGTTTTCTTGTTGAATGAAACTCTTCAAG